CGAAACAAGTATGCAATAACCTTATGAATTTTGGAGCATTTTTTCTCCATTACCTACCTACGCTAATTTTTGAGCCATCCTTGAAAATTTGTAGTCAATCATGTATTGCGAACGACATTCTGGTTGCGAGTAGTCACAAATTAAACCGGATTTGAATATGTGTCTGTGTTACTTTGCTTCCTGCCGTGTGAAAATTCTCGATCGACAGTGGTCTGCTGCCATAAGTCGATGATTTTACTGAAAATGCTCAGTGTCGGTGTTTGTCTGATGCTCATGATCTTGACAGCTTGTCTTGCTGAAGGTAAGATTTCACAATTGCTTTCGAATAACTCAGAGTGCTTTCGATCAGGTACTGGCGAGGAGCAGCAGAATAATCGAGTGCGACGTCATCATCACCATCATCATGGAGGGCTTCTTGAACGACAACTGTACAACGATGAGCGTACAATTGGAAGGCAGCTGTTTCACGACAAAAGAAAGCTCTACCATCAACTGGAAGGGGCCGAGAGGCGCGGAGATCTATACGGAACGGGACCATATGGGATCAGTCCATATGGAATGGGTGGCAGTATCAGAAGTCGTCTTGGCGGTGTATACCGAAGTCTAAGAGGTCTGGAAGGATTAGGACGGTATATTAACCGGCTGATCTTATAAAGATCCGACTTGCGTGATTCATTTAAACGCTGGTTAGTACAATTATTTTTTTGAAGCATTTCCGTGTGTTGCTTTATTTCAAGAAGTATAAGCGAAGCAAGATGTTATTACACCTTCGCATTGTTAAAAAATATGCAGTATAATATTTTGGAACATTTGATACAGTGCTCTCCGAAATATGACCTTTTCTGGTAATGGGACTTGACGATGCAACTAAACAGAAGCCACCGTAGCAAAGAGTGTAATTTTCAAAAATGTCAACTATTTATCATTATTTTATACCGGTCAGCTGATGGATTCCGATGAAAAACTGTCTATATAAAAAGAAATGACAACAGTATCATATAAAAATTTAAGTGATCAGAAATTAATATTATTTTTTCTTGATTTTGACGCTCTCATCTGATTCAAGTTTTCATGCATTGGTATGCAAAGCAATATTTAAAAAAGGGCATCGCAGAAACAGTCCTCTGATGCACAACGCGATATAGAAATCTACCACAGCATGTTTGATTGGTACCAATATTTCGGCTCGAATCTTAAAAAAATACAAATTTCGTAATCCAAATTCATTTCTTATATATCAACCAGAAGAAAGAACTTTAGTGCGACAGTGACGGAACAGCCGAAGAATGAGTATTTTGTTCATGCGTTGGTGTCCATACTGAAAATTGAAAATTTTATGTCAATTATTTATTTATTCGCAGCGCAGGCAAAACAGTTGGTCAATCACGTAGCTGACCAGTAACGATACTTAGGCTCGTCTCCAAAAGCACACATTTGACTTCAGCTGCGGAAGTCAACCGGACAACCTTGAAGAAGGCTCGTGAGGGATGAGTCGAAACTTCGGCACTGATCAGTCATCCGAGTGATCAGTTTTTTATTTGCATCGTGAACAAATAAATTGCGTTTTCACACATTTTTTCACTTTTCAGGAGCAGCAACATTTCAGAAAATAAACATTGCAATTTACTCCGGAACTTTGTCTTAGATCTTCATTTTCTGTCGATGTTTATCCTTTCTAACATCTTTCATGAATTTCATAATTCAGATGTTTTGTTCAACACAAAAACATCTGCTGATGAAGCAAGGTATAGAAATACGTTGCAATGGTACAGGTTTTCCGGATGCAAGCAAATAATTAATACTAGGCACCACGGCTCGCACAATATTTTATTTCCCTGATCCTCATTTAACGGCGTTGTTCACGTCAAGAATTATCGGCGTTGTCCCGATTATTGCTTTCCACCCCTTTGACCTAAAATCATACCAAATCAATTTCTATATGGTTTCAGTATCAGGGAAGGTACAGACCACTAGAAGCATTCGTTTTCCAATGATGATGGGATAAAAATTATATAAAATACAACATCGACAAATTGGCAATTGAGTACAATTGAGCAGGGGAAAAGGCGCATTCGGTACAACATGGCATCGCTCGTTAGTCGCAATGCTTCTAGCGCAAATAGCCATCGCGCTACCGGAGGACTGACACCCTGTAATTGTATCATTGATAAGGAAGACTAGCAAATTCAGGGCAGCAACAGGTGTAGTGGCGCTCCTTAGACTCTCATAATCTAGAGGCGAGTCACTATCAAATAAAACACTATACACCAAACATACATATAAAAGTAGTACAAACAAATAAAAAAATCATAGCAACAAAACAAACTCGAAAATTGTACAGCGCAAAGATTTGCGACCTTGAAGCCTGGAACTTTCGGATCTCGGAACAAGATTTATCACAAGAGAAATTTTTTCCTAGCTTCATGACTTATTCCATTAGAATTACATCTACTATAAATTAATAATGATACCGATTGAAACGGTGTAAGCACAGTGTAAAGAAAGAAAATATTATTTCTTACTTTACCCCTTCCTCTCATTCCTCCTCCCTACTTGCATCCAGTCACCTATGGGGATCATATCGGTATTTAAGCGGATGCAGTGTATAAGTCGCATGACCGTGTCTCTTGGGAATTGCACCCTGCGGAAAGCTTCAGATTGAAGGACTGCATGGCCATTGGTCGTATACATCGCGAAGCACTGCCAATGAAATTGCGTTGTCACGCCGTCGTTTTCTGAAGAGAGGAGAAAAGAATTATAAAGAAATGTGGTATGGATTATAATATGACAAGGCGTTCGTTCCACCCAAACACTGAAAATCAGGGAGACTGGTGAAACGATGCTGTCGAAACTTGTATATGAATATGCCGTATTAACATGAATAACGAATGACATTTGCCGTTATTATATTTCTGTTTTCCTTCGCAAGATGAAGCAAATTACATTTCCTGAAGTGAGAAGAAGCAACCGTCGAAGACTGGCTGTATTTCAGGAGGCCAAGCCTCATATACCCATCATCT